ACAATGCTCTTTACTCAAGGACGCCGGAAGCTGCCGGGCGGCACAGCCTACCATCAGGCGCCGGCCGGCGCCGCGGCGGCTGGCAACAGCTGTCAGCTGACTGCGCCGGCATAGCTCGTGCCGGCTCAGTAGCACGCATCACAACACCTCCCCCCAGACGTGGGGGAGACAACACGTCTCAAGAACAAAAACGGTGCCTCCGACAAACACAAACGCACCAACGCGTGTCAGCGCACGATGGCTACACAAACTCATACACTGGGTCCGACCAAGTCACAGTCAGCCTCTTAGGCTGTCGACGAAGTCGTCTGCTGCGCCTCACAGAGGCGTCAGGCGCGGGGGTCACTGCGCCAGGGCGGCTGCGGGGGACTTTGTCAGCGGCTGGGGTCCCGCTGTCGGCGGTCCTGGTTCGGGCGCTGTCGCCGTCTTCGGTGATGGCGTCTCGGCTGCCATCGGGTGACGTGGTCACCATCGGCCGCAGCGGGCGGAGGTATCGTCGATTCCGCCAGTAGGTGCGGCCGCTTGGCAGGCGAGCGAGGTAGTCTCGGCGGCTGCCGATGCCAACGACGACACCTGTCCGGTCCCACAAACCAGTCTTCGGATCTTGCAGGAGAACCTGTTGGCCGATGCGCAGAGGTCTCAGCGAGCGGGCGCTCGCGTCGTAGCGCTCTGCGGTCTGGGACTTCAGAGCGGCTGCTCTCTCATCACACTCCTCCGCCGCGCGCTGCCACACCTCGGCAAACGCTCGGTGGTGAGCTGGCACGGTAGAGCGCAGCGGGTGGCCGTACAGAATCTGGGCAGGCGAGCGACCATCGGCCCGAGGCGCGTTCCGCAGCTCCAAGAGGCCGTGCGCGAACGCGTCATTGTCCAGGTTGCCTCGGTCGCTGACCTTCTGCACGAGCCTCTTCACTGCCTTCACTGCAGATTCCGCGTGTCCGTTCGACTGAGGGAAATGCGGAGTGGATATCTCGTGGGTCACTCCCCACCGTCGCAGAAAGTCGCGGGTGTGACGGGCTGCGAACTGCGGCCCTCCGTCCGTTCGCAGAGTCTGGGGTGCCCCAGTGGCCGCGAAGGCGACCCTCAGGCTGGACACCAGGTCCTTCGCCGACGTCTCTCCAGAGCAATGAAAGACGAACGGCCATCCAGAGAGGCGGTCTACGTATACGAGATACGTTCGACCAGCCCACGAAAAATAGTCCGCTGAGACGGCCTCGAAGACTCGAGTTGGCACCGCCTCGGAGACTAGCGGCTCCTTTTGCTGGCTCGGAAGATACATCTGGCAGGACTTGCACGCTCCGACGAAGTTAGCGATGTCCTGGTCAAGCCCGGGCCAGTAGACAACTTGTCTAGCCCGACGCCTGGTGCGCTCCACACCTTGATGGCTGGCGTGAAGCCGCTCGAGCGTCTCCCGACGCAGACTCTGGGGAATCAGGAGTCGCTGCCCGCGTACCAGCAGGCTGCCGTCCACGGTGAGACGGTCTCTAGCTGTCCAGTAGGGCCGCAGCGTCGGCTCCAGCTGCGACTTGTGGTCTGGAAAGCCAGCCAAGACCACGTCTCGGAGGGCGCTGAGCTCTGCATCACGCTCAGACGCCGCCCGAACCCTCTGCAGAGTAGCGTCCGGGAACAGTGAGTCTTCCTCGGTCGGATCAGCCGTGGTGATCCTGGCGATCAGGCTTGCGATCTGGTGGGCTTCCTCCTTCTCCGCCTCTTCGTCGTCTGGGGTCGGAGTATCCACCGGTGCCCGGGAGAGCGCATCCGGGATCGCGTGCAGTTTCCCTTGCCGCCACACAGCGACGAAGTTGAACGGCGTGAGACGTTGCCGTAGTCGCTGCAGTCGCGGGTTGTCGATGTCGATGAGACTCTTGGAGTTCAGCACTGGAACGAGCGATCGGTGGTCTGTGACCACCTCGAACTGCTGCATGCCCGAGAGGTACATGCTGCACTTCCGACAAGCCCATGCAACTGCCAACATCTCAATCTCGCAGACGGCGTAGCGGGACTCCACATCGGTCAGGAAACGAGACCCACACTGGATCAGTTTCCATCGTCCATCTGCATCCTGTTGCCGCAGACAGAAACCCAGCCCTCGCAGGCGAGCGGCGTCGGTCTCCAGGACTGTCCGGCGCCGCGGGTCAAAGAAGTCGAGGACTGGTGGCGAGACCAGCGCCTTCTTCACGTCACTGAAGGCTTTTGAGTGCAGCGGCGTCCACACCCACTCGTTCTTCGGTCGCAGGAGGTGTCTCAGAGGCTCGGCGGCGGCCGAGACGTCTGGTGAGAAGTCACCCAGCTGGTTCACGAGACCGAGAAACGATCTGAGGTCCGTGAGGCACGCCGGCTGCGGAAACTCCGCGATGGCTCGCACCTTCTTGTTGTCTGCGGTGTAGCCTGTCTGGTCAATCTTGAATCCGCAGAACTCCACCTCATTCCCGGCGAAGGAGCACTTGTCTGGGTTCAGAGTCATCCCGTGGTCATCACATCTCTGCAGGATGTTCCACACGTGCTCCAGGTGAGCTGAGTAGCCCGAGTCGTACGCCAGAATATCGTCTACGACTTTGCATGTCTGAGGGATGTCACCGAGAGCAGCGTCGCCTCTTCGGTTGTACTCGTCTCCTGACGAGATCAGACCCATGACGGCACGTTTGTAGCGGAAACGGCCCCATGGCGTGATGAAGCACGTCTTGTCTTGGTCCTCCTCGCGGATGGGGATCTGGTGGTAGCCAGACTTGCTATCCAGCTTCGTGTAGAAGTTTGCACCGCTGCCGATCGAGGCCACAGCGTCGTGCGGCGACCTGACTGGGTACGCTGGCCTCTTGACGAATCGGTTCAGCTTGGTGAGGTCGACCGTCAGACGGCAGCCAGAGACCGTGCCGTCCGGCGACCGCTTCGCCACCGGCACGATGGGGTGGCACCACTCGGTCGGATGCTCCACCGGCTCGATCACGTCACTCTCCAGCAGCTCATCCAGCTGGCGCCGAATGTCGTCACGCCAGCAGAACGGTACACTGCGAGCTGTGGAGACGGCAACTGGTGTGGCGTCTTCAGTCAACTCGATGGCCATTGAGCCTCCGGACATCTTGCGCAGCTTCGAGGTGACGTCAAACACTCGTGGGAAGGCTTCCTTCATCGCTGAGAAGTGCTTCCGTCGTTCTTCAGCCGATGGCACACCTTTGCTTGCATCCCACGTCGGCTTCAGCGGGTGCACCTTCTGCGCCTTCCCGGCGTCTTCAAGTGCAGGAGCAGAGCCTCGTTTGACCACTCTGCGGGGTATCTTGCTCTTCCCTGGCATGGTCTTCAGGGAGCAGACTGCTGGAGCAGGTCTGGAGGTCTCCTCCTCGTCTGAGATGGCAGAACGGATCTGCTGTGGGAACTCCTTGTGCAGTATTCCCAGTCGAACAGCGTCGTGCCACGACAGCAGCGAGCTGTGCAGCTTCTTCACCACAGAGACGGCTATCGTCCTCTTGATGCTTCCCAGCTGCAGTGCGACTTGGCACGCTCCCAGGCAGGGCAGTTCTCGTCCGTCCGCTGCGAACAGGCTTCCAGAGGGCGGCGTCAGCTTCTTGACGTTGATGCCCATCTGCTTCGCTGCCTCCTGAGAGATTACAGACACCTCAGCGCCTGTATCTGGCGTCCATGTCGTTTGTTGCCTGCCACCGTCACTCCGATGCAGCAGAATCTGGATCTGCGGAGCACGCGTCGTATGCAGGCCTTGGATCATGCAGTCTCGGTGCTGCTGGTCCACTGTCTGTCTGGCAGGTGCAGATGCCGCTCGCGTCCTCATCGTGACGAGCGACACTCTTCTGCCTCCATCGGACCTCCGCTGGGTCCGGTCTGTGCTCGCCGCCGGAGCGCGCGAGCGACTGGCGCTGCGACCGCGGCAGACAGACGCGAAGTGGCCTACCTTGCCACAGGCTCGGCAGGTCCTCTTGACGGCCCTGCAGTCGCCGGCGCTACGGTGAGCTTCACCACCGCAGCGGGGGCACGTCTTCTCTGTCGACCGGTCTCTCGGGCGACCGCGGCTGCGCTGGTACTGAGATACTTTCGCCAAGGTCGAGCCAGCTGGTTCACGGATGGCTGAACTGTTGGAGGCGGCATTCTCTGACGCTCGGGCGATATCCACTGCCTTCTGAAGCGTGAGATCCGGCTCTTCCAACATTCTGCGGCGTGCTTCTTCGTCTCGCGTGCCGACAACGACTCGATCTCTGAACCTGTTGTCCTGGCAGTGGTGACAGAAATCACAGAACGATGCAATCTCTTTCAGTCCACAGAGAAAATCGTCCACTGTTTCGCCCGCTTCCTGTACTCGCATGTAAAAATCTCTCCGATCAATGATGACGTTACGCTGGCGGCGCAGATGCGTCTGCATCGCCGTGATGATGGTGTTCATATCAGCGTCTTCGGGGATCGGCAGGCCGTACCTGACCACCCTGGTCCAATCATCATCAAGCAGAGCGAGTAGGGCTGCCTTCTGCTCGGGCTGGGCTAGCCTGTTGACGCCAGTCAGCGGACTGTAGCCGTGAAATTTCTGTCGCCAGGATTCAAACTCCTTCAGTGACGCCGATGACGACAGCTGTGGAGCGGGAGTCGCTGATGCCGGCAGTCTGGGCGGTAGACTGACGGCTGCGCTCGTATCGGCTGGGGTGGCCGCTGCCGTAGCCGCCGCGGCTGCAGCGCCGGCCCCGGCCGCCAGCCCGGCCCATATCCGTTCCATTACGGCCACCATACGCTCCTCCCGCTGCTGGCTTTGTCGCTGAGCTTCTTGAGCCAGCTCCAGTTGCTGGGCGAGGAGTTGGGTGAGGGCTCCCAGGTCTACCGGCTTGCCTTCCTCCGTCATTGCGAGAAACGCGCGCGAAAACCGACGAAAAAATGCTATATTTAACGACAAAAAGTAAATTATACCGATCGCGCCATGTTATGGTTTCACATTTAAGTCTACGTTAATAATGGTTCGATAGCAAATTAATTATCGTCGCGATTCCACCGCCCCAGATGCACACGCGCACTCCCGATGTTAACTGTATTGAGTCCGGCTGACGACTGCACAACAATGCTCTTTACTCAAGGACGCCGGAAGCTGCCGGGCGGCACAGCCTACCATCAGGCGCCGGCCGGCGCCGCGGCGGCTGGCAACAGCTGTCAGCTGACTGCGCCGGCATAGCTCGTGCCGGCTCAGTAGCACGCATCACAACATCACTCAGGACCCGATAACAGCGACACCTACAACCCGACACGGGCGCCGTCTACACTCCCCCATTCGAATGGCCATATCTTGTCATTCGAATCAATACAAGGGCGCCCGGGTGAACCCACTCACCGTCTACCTGCTGGTGAGAACCAACCCTCGACTGCCAGGGCAGCTAGCCGAGTTTACATGGACACTTAAATCTAATCACACGTAACAGTCTGGCACCTCAAAACCTACCCGCTGGCAAAAAAACAAAAAACAAACAAACCTGCTGGCAAAAACAAACAGACTAGTCTGTCGCAAACAGGTTCTAGCTCGTAAAGAATCTATTTACGTTGACACCTTACACTAAGTCTTAAACTAGAGGCTCTCAGACTCTCGCACACATCTGACCCCGCACAGTACTAATCCAGGTCAGATTCAGAACTAATCACTACCATCTTGTGGATCGGCCTCATGTACGTGGACTCACCTGTCCGAACTAGAGCCTTTCTCACGAGTCCATCCTGACTCGGGAAAGCCTTAACAACCCTGCCCATCCGCCACAGCCCTCGTGGCACGTTCTGATCAGCTAGGAGAACGACATCTCCCGGCTGCACATTTCTCGACTCCCGCGTCCATTTCTGGCGCGCCTGGAGAGAAAGCAGGTATTCACGTCTCCAGCGATACCAAAACTGCTGGGCTAAATACTGCACGTGTCGCCATCGACGTCTCGATAGCGAATCGGACTCTGAAAACTCTCCGGGTATCGGTCCGGCACTGCTCCTCAGAAATAGGAGATGCCCCGGGGTCAGAGGCTCCAGCTGACCGGAGCTAGTCGATACGTAAGTCAGTGGCCGGCTGTTCATAACAGACTCGATCTCGCAAAACAGCGTGCGAATCGATTCGTCATCCAGACGCTGCTGAGTAGGCATGGACCGCCATACCTTCCTGAATGTTCTGATCTGCCTCTCAACGCCACCTGCGAAGTGAGAAGCTGTGGGGGGATTGAATTGCCAGTCAATGCCCTGTTTCAGCGCGGCACGCTGCAAATCACCGTGACTGAGTTCGCTCAGCGCCTCGCGGAGCTCTCTGTCGGCCCCGGTCAGATTCGTCCCCATATCACTCCTGATCTGAACGATCTGACCCCGGCGAGCGCTGATCCTACGAATGGCGTTTATCAGCGAGTCTGTGCGCAACGAATCCAGAATCTCAACATGGACGCCTCGTGTCACGACACAGACACACATCAGACCGTAGCGTTTCCGCTCGGTCCGCCCGGTCTTAACCAAGATCGGCCCAAACACATCAAGCAGCACTGACGAGAATGCCGGTGTATCGGCTGACACGCGCTCCTTTGGCAAGTCTGCCATGAGCTGCTTCTGAGGCCGCGCGTTCACCTTCCTGCACGTTACACATCTGCGAATGAGTCCCCGAATCTCAGGACCAGCGCCTATCACCCAGAAACGTTTCCGGACCTCCCAAAAAGTATGATCGCGGCCCTCATGGCCCACCCTCTCATGAGCCTCTCGGATCAACAGCTGGGTCACGTGATTCTTACGGGGCAGAATCACTGGGTGCTTCGCGCTCTCGGAAACACTCTCCGACCGACCGAGTCGGCCTCCCACGACCAGCAGGCCGTTCAGCATCTGCGGACGCAGCTTCGTCAGAGGACTGCTCATAGGCACTCCGACTGGGCCATCGTCACATCCCTCTCTCGGAAAATCAGCCAGGTCCCTCTGGGCGTGCCGCAAAACAACACGCTCTGCCCGGCACAGATCTGACACGGTCAGGTTAGTCTTTTCACCGTGTCCGCGCCGCCTCAGGCCTCTCCTTCTCGCCAGACACCATCTGCGGAAAGAGCCGTCACGCAGGACACAGAGGAAGCGATGATACCACGCCACCGCTCGCTTGAGTCGAAAAAAGGACGAGAAACTCCTGATCAGTAGATCGAAAGGGCTCTCGGGACCGGCGGCAAGCGACACCAGGGCTACAGGCGAAGACTTTACCTCGGAAACGGGAACCGACACAGATACTGCCGGTTCCTCCGGCCATCCGCCGGCGCTCCCGAGAAGAAACTCTGGCCCTCCCAGCCACGGCTTCAGTCCCGCCGGCTGACAGCCACGAGATCCAACATCAGCCGGGTTCACTGTCGAAGGCACATACGCCCAGTCACTCACTTTGGAGCCGTCATGGATGTACGCCAACCGGTTTGCCACAAAAGTCTTAAATCTCGTCGTCCGGTTCCTGACGTAGGCCAGTACTACCATACTGTCAGTCCACATGTGGAAGGAGTCGAATTGGGTGTCTAGCTCTCTCTCAAGCACCCGTCTCACCCTCACGGCCAGCACTGCGGCGGCTAGCTCGAGCCGCGGCACAGACACGAACCGCACGGGATTCACAAGCGACTTACCCAAGAGAAACGTCACAAAACACCGGACCTCCCCGTCCGGGGTACGAACTTCCCTTCTCAGGTATGCCACTGCAGAGTACGCGGTCTCGCTAGCGTCAGCGAAGACATGTAGCTGAGTGCTCAACACCTCTCCAGGCGGGCCCACGATACACCTCTCCAGCTGAACACTGTCCAGCTCCCTGGCACCAGCCAGCCACTCCTCCCACTCCCCCGTCAAGGCATCAGACAGAGGCTCGTCCCACCCACAGGAAACCGCACACAGCCTCTGCAGCAGCACTCGACCGAGCAGGGTCACTGGCGACACGATACCGAGAGGGTCAAACACCGAACTTACGGTGGACAGTATGCCGCGCCTCGTCACCGGCTTGTGCCGGTCGTTGAACTGGAAAACAAAAGAGTCCTTCTCAACAGACCACTTCAGTCCAAGCGCACGCTCAGAGCCCAGAGCGTCCTTATCTAAATCCACTGCCTTAACCTGCTTACCTCTGTCTTCAAACGGAATCTGTTTCAGAAACTCTGACCGGTTGCTGGTGAACTTAGTCATGTTGAATGCACCGGTCCTGCAGAGATCTTTCAGGTCACGTGCCAGCTTCACAGCCTCCTCCACGGAGTCAGCAGCACATAGAGCGTCATCTACATACGTCTTACGGAGTAGAGCATCAGCGGCCTCAGGAAACTGCTCGCGACCCTCCTCTGCGCAGCGGCTCAGCGCGAAGCTGGCCACACTGCCACTTGACACCGCTCCGAAGACGTGCGACCTCATCCTCAGCACCTGCACGTCACCCTCTGGGTCGTCATCATGGAACCACAGGAATCTCAGCAGATCAGCATCTGCTTCCGGCACACGCACTCGATGATACATAGACTGGACGTCACATGTGAACGCGACACGCCCCTCCCGGAAGCGACAGAGCACCCCGAGAAGCGGATTTGTCAGGTTCGGACCCCCTCTCAGTAAGTCATTTAAACACACGCCATGGCTCCGGGCCGCGCAGTCAAAAACCACGCGCAGTTTTCCCTTCGCGGGCTCCTGCACGCCGTGGCGAGGGAGGTACCAGACCGGCCCTCCTCCAACCTCACCGTCTGGCACTGGAGCTGCGTAGCCGTCATCAACCAGTGACGAAATGACTCGTCGGTACGCGTCAAAATAGTCCGGATCAGACCTGAAGCGCCTCCGAAGAGAATCCAATCTCCTGGACGCCATCGGAAAGCTGTCCGGCAACTGGTCGAAATCCTTCTTAGGAAGTGGAATCACGAAGTGCCCCTCCTCGTCTCTCTTGACCTGTGGGAGCAAGTCAGACAGCCACTCCCTGTCCTCCACGGAAAGGCACTCCTGGTCGTCGGAAAGATCCTTAAACTCATGTTCATACATGACCTTAAAGACGCACTCTGAGTCACGGTCAGGGACACAGCTGTCGTGAACCCGCAGCAGGTTGACAGACATCCTACCTCCTGTCGCCGGGGAACCACCACAACCAATTACATACCAGCCAAGACACGTCCTCACACCACAGAGGCCCTCCTCACCGGAAGGCGGAGACCTCACCTCTCTGGGAACAATCAGAGTAGCGCAGTTGGAGCCGAGCAGCAACTCCACTGGGGCATCCACCTCATGGAGCTCCACACCCTGCAGGTGGGCAGCGGCTCTGAGCTCACTCACCCGGCACCGATCGGACTGTGTCACAGGGATCCTGTCGATAGTCAGGAGCGGCGGCAGGGGAAGGAACTCTGCTCCGTCCAGACCGCAGACCTCCAACCCAGAGGCCAGCGAGGTCTGCATCACCCTCCGCTCGTTCCCAACCGTCTCGATGGAGATGGAAGTGTCATCCCTTCTCACCTTCAAACGCCGCGCCAGCGACTCAGTCAAGAAACTACCTGACGAGCCAGAGTCCAAGAACCCATTTACCACCACCTCCAGCCCCGTGGGACCCCGGAGGCGCACAGCAACCACTGGCAGCGCCGTCCGGCCCGCGCCGCGGATACCCAAGCTCGCACTTAAAACACCACCACTCATCTGCGCCCCAGGTGGGTCACCAGCCGCTACCATCCCACCGGTCAAGGGTCCCGCGCGCAAAGAATCAGACCCCCTGACGGGCGGCTGAGCCGCACGCTGCTGCTCGATGGGGGCAGAGACTGAACTCGGCTCCCTGTGCATCGCCAAGGGATGGGGCCCATTGCAGACACCACACCGGAGCGGCTTTCTACAAGACCGAGCCCTGTGTCCCCTCCTCAGGCAGCCAAAACACAGCTGATTTCTCATCAACACCCGTCGTCTCTCCTCCCAAGGTCTACGAAGCAGATCCTTACAGCCCTTCAGACGGTGCGCCGCCCCGCAGAAAACACACTTCTGCACCCCGGGCTCGCTCACCTTCGCTGTGCTCACCTTATGCCGCGCTCCAGCCTCACCACCGCGTCCGGGTATGACAGGCCTCGGACCGAAAAGAGGACTCCTCACTCGCACCTCTGCTGCGACGAAGCTAACCATGTCTGAGAAAGTAATCCTTTTACCACTCTCAGACAATCTGTCGGCCTCTCGGAGCCACCGGTCCTGCAGATACACTGGAAGCTTAGACGCGATCAAGCGGAGGGTAGACGGGTGCTCGAACTCGCCCATGGTGGCGCCAGACATCGCATTTTTTACCTCAGTTAGGAACAGAGCATATCTGTCAAGCCCCTCAACATCCCCAGACTGCAGGCGCGACCACTGTTCGATCCGCTCCACGTACGAATCGATCAGTCTGAGGGAATTTCCATATCGAGACTCGAGAAGTTTCACAGCCTGGCTGTAGCCCTCATCACCCAAGTGGAGGCAACTCCTGACTAGCTGATTAGCTTTCCCGCGGGTATACTGCTCGAGGTAATACAGCAGTTCCCCCTGGTCGTCCGTTCGGCTAGCAATCCTGGACTGGAACGCTCTGATGAAGAGCCTAAACTCCTCAACCGCTCCCGAGAACGGACGGAGCTCGGCAGGAGGGAGCAGTGAACGCCTCACCTGCGCTGAAAGGGCATCAGCCCCAACTGGAGTCACCGAAGCCTCACTCACTGTCACCCGAAGAGGCTCCAGTGCTGACTCATCCACCTGGCCCAGCTCGGCCAGCTGAATCTCAACATCCAACTGCTCTGCCCTAGTCCGCAGCCTCAGCTCATCCTGCTCTGCCTGAGCCTTAACCTTCAGCCTACTCTCCTCTACAGCCTGTCGTTCCCTCATCAGTTTAAGTTTCACCATCAGCATCTCTGCACTCGGTTTAGAGATAGGCTGACTCTCACCTGGGGGTTCCCTAATGTCCACCTTGTTCTCAACACGTGGAGACTCTGTCGGGTCCTGCATAGCTGCCCACAGCCTATCTACCATCTCAGACTTCTTACCTGTGGGCCTTTAGCCTCGAGCTCGCGCTGGAGCTCAGTCAACTTAAGTCTACCAAGATCCTCCTTACTGGGCGGCGCCATCATGTGCAGGATCACAGGATACCGAAGCAGACGAGAGGGGATCAAGGACCACCAGATCCAACTTACAAACTAAACACCTTAACTAATATTAAAAACACAGTACGACACAGCCTAAAAACACTTCAGCACTGAAACTCACTACTAACTATCAAGTCACAGGGGCTGGGACCAGCTGGGCACCACTACACAACCTATCCCCAACCTCAAGGTCAACAAGTTCAGCTCCCTTGGACCACAGCTCACCGAAACCGCTCCACGTTGAGTCGCTCCTCAGCAGCCCACCAGTCGGCCGCCAGATGCAGCAGCTCCAGGACTGCAGGGCGCAGTCGCCAGAGACGACTTGGATGCCGGGCGGGCAGGTCGGGCAGCCACACAGGCCGCAGCAGTTGACCAGCCAGCCAGAAGGAGCAGCCCCACGGCAGCAGAGCACAATCACCGGAGACGACTCGGCCGCCGGACAGGTCGGGCAACCACACAGGCTGCAGCAGTCGACCAGCCAGTCGTCGGACACAGCACTCGAGAGCAGCACAGCGCGGCCCCCGGCTCCGCCAGCTCACGCAGAGCCTCACCAGTCACCAACCAACCGTGACTCGCGTGCCAAACCTCACTGGCCACCACTGACGCACATCACCTCACTGTGGCCACAAGCTGCAGACGCAGCACCACCACGGCCCACCAACCGCAACCTGCACTCTGCAGCGCCCACTGGCTACTGCTCAGGCACAGCACCTCACCCACTGCAGCTCGGACCACCCCGCTTCACTCCACCAGGAGGAGCCCGATCTTGGATCCAGCAGCTCCACGACGGTGAAGCGCACCATCCGCTGGTGGCAGTCCAGGAGGCAGCAGTGGTCGACCTCAGCACGCAGTTGCAGTCCAGACCTCAGCCGCAGCAGACGGCCCAGCAGACTCCAGCCGTAACTGTAGATGGCACAGCCGCCACTGTAGCAGCCACCACGTGGCTGAATAGCGCGGAGCGCCGAAAGACGAGCCGTTGACGAAGGACCTTTATTGCCCTTGTTACTGTGGGAGGCGCACGCACACACAGGGGTACACAGGTCAGTACCAAATCTCCCATCAGTAACCACAGTCCACACTGAATTCCGTCCGAAACAGTCGACCTTTTGATAAACTGTACATATTACGTTACAGCGTTCTTAAACTCAACATATCGACAATGGCAGAACATAATAAATACTAGCTCCTACCGGCTGTTCCTCGTCTCCGCTGTGCAACTCGCCAACAGCGGCACCGCCGCACTCTGGGCCGTCAGAGGCCGGCCACTCAAACGCCCCGGCCGCGAGACCGCTCTCGGCTCCAGCCACGGGGGAAAGCGCACAGTTCGACTGGCCTACACGTCCCCGGGCCAACCGGAGCGAGCCGAGCACCTACGAAGATTGAAACATTGTAAATGGCGCACTTGAGGTACAAGAATATATACGATATCAAAGAAATAAGCATAGAAAGCTAATTAAAGCATACACGAATTTACTGGTTTACACTGAAATAAATTACATTCAACATTGAAGTGCTCCCAAATCCTATATAGTCAAACTTACTCATCAGCGTCGCGCTGGGACACACGCATCCACCCCTCATGAAGGTCGGGCGGGAAAAGAGCGCACACGCAGCTCGGAAACTGCGCCACAGCTCGGCCAGGTCACGTGACCTGCCAGCGTGTCACTCAAAAACTCGCGTCGCATCTCTTACATCGACGTGTCAACTAAACTTTAACCATAATCAAGCCATATTTTTTATATAAGAAATATAATCACACATGAAATACCGCCTCCGAACCAAATATTACCGAAACGCGCTCCTCGACGATAAGAGATGCAAGTTTTATAGTAACAAACCACTCCGATCGGACAATCGAATCTCCGTCACTCAATACCGCGAGTATAATAGTGCACCTAACTTATCACTGGTGGCAAGGTTTGAAAAAGGATAGGAAAAAAGGTTAACAAGTCAAACGGATAACTGGGTTGCGGGACCCCCGCCACTCGCACCTCACTCAGGACCCGATAACAGCGACACCTACAACCCGACACGGGCGCCGTCTACAGTCAGAATGACGTCATGTTCTGCCATTTTCGACCCAAAAAAGGTTTCGCAGGAAGAGCTATCAGGCCTACAGACTACAGAGCTGTTGAAACATGAAAATGTTCCGATATAAAAAGTGTAGAATTAACAGGCTTAGGTCAAATCTGAGCACAGTTTACAGAAAGAGCGTTAAAAGAGCTTTGTTTGTTTTGTTGGGTTGGATCCAGGCCCTTCGGCTTTCGGTCTAACGAGACCATTTCAGGGCCGGAGGGATGATAGGAATTGAGGGAGACATTGGTCTGGGCGGGCACCTTGGTGACTCACTGGGGCTGAGCCTGTCCAACAGGACAGGCCGACCAGCCTCCCAAGTGCTCACTGCACCCGGTTACGAGTGTGCTTCCTTAGGAGCTGCAGTGCGCTCCAATGGGAGCCGCCCGCATGGAAAAAAGTTGCCCGCCCAGGTCCAGTCCGGATCAGGGGTTGCGGCATGGAGGAGAAGGATTTGAATGTCCTGAGGATGGAAACGGCGAAAGGGGTGTTAAAAGAGCTATTAACTACGCTTTTCCCCGGTACTGTAGCTCTATTCATTTCCGAATCATGCGGTGGTTTGTTGAAAATTGTCGAAATTGGACCTGAAAATTGGCGAAATTTAACCTTGGATGACCTATGTGAACTGAATTTTGAACTGATCTAAAAAGTGACAGGCGTAATTTCCTCATTATTGTTTGCTTGCGTCCCTTGGAACACTGCCTTAGGCGTGTTGGTACGTGGCTCAGAAGCCGAGTTATAGATGCAGGGGTGCGGAGCCGAAGCTGGAGCCGGAGGAGCCGCCGGTGCCGGCATATTTTGCCTGGAGCCGGAGCCGGAGCCGTGAAACAATATAGCCCGGAGCCGGAGCCGGAGCGGCAAAAAAGGCGGCGACTCCGGCTGTTTTTTTTTTGCTTTTTTTAAGAGGAAAACATTATTGACCTAGTTCGGTTTCACAGTACCTACAAGGCACTAGGCAGTAAAATATGTGGTATTCAAAATAGCCTTGTTATGCAAATACAGAAGCAACGTCAACCAATCCTTCATCTTTTCTTTTACACCCGTATGTATTTGTATAAAGGATGAACGGGCGATGCGGGCGGTTTTCTTTTTTTTGCGTCGTTTGCGGTGTTAAATTTGTTTGCGGTTGGCGGCCGCTTTTTCGTTTTTTTGCGGTGTTTTTTTTTTTTGGCGGCGGGCGGGCGATTTTTAGGTGTTTTCGGTTGGCGGTTAGCGGGCGTGCGATGCGGGCGGTTTTATTGTTTTGCGGCGTTTTTGCGTTTTTTTATTTGCGGTTTGCGGCGGGCGGGCGTTTGTTTATTTTTTGCGACCTTTGCGTTGGCGTTTCGGGCGTGCGTTTTGCGCGTTTTGCGGTGTTTGCGTTTTGCGGCGGGCGGGCGTTTTTCACAATTCAAAGTTCAAACTTTCGGGCCACAGCGCTCCTCGAAAATCGCTGCCCTCGTATAAAGGATGAACTGAGTACTGGAGTCGAAGCCGGAGCCGGAGCCGGAGCCGAAACCGATTTTTTTTCTCCGGAGCCGGAGCAGGAGCCGTCTGAAATTTCCACGCCTCCGAATCCCTGGTTAGAAGGACCCTGGCCGGCCGGGGGGGGGGGGGGCGTGGGTGCCACCACATCGTTTTTTTTGCGACAGCTCGGAACACGTCGGCAGGCAACAGAGAGCCAAAACTGGGCATAGCTACCTGACCTTTGATGCAAACCGGGCCTTGTGACGCCCGCATTTTCACGGAGGGCCTCTGGTCGTCTTAAGGACCCTCTGTTACCCTCAGAGGGACCCTCTGATGGCCTCTGAAGACCATCACTGGCCTCAAAGGGTCCTCTAGTGGCCTCCATGGACCTTCTGGGTACCTGAAAGATCCCACTGTTTTCTCTCCAGGGGCCCTTTTTACCTCAAAAGGTTCTCTTTTACTTCAAATGACCGTATGTTGGTCTAATACATGAGGCCCCTAGTGGCCTAAAATAGCCCTCATATCATCTAAGGCAGTGGTCGGCAGGTCATTCGGGGTCGTGCCCCCTTTTTGGGCGCCAGGCAGGGCCATTACCCCCACCTACCAGACCCCATTGCTGACACAACCAAGTTTACTGAAATTCCATACCGTCCTGGAACTCTTTGGGTATTTGTGTATCCCGATGTAAACGCGATGGGCTCGTAAGCGGATAGGGCTTTACCGTTTACGCTCCATATGTGGAACGATCTTTAGGCAAAAAAATTCCGGCAGGCGGCTATTTTTCTGTTGGTGAAAGTGGCCTCTGTACCCATAATGACCGTTGGCTTATGAGCTTTTTCTGGAGATCATCTTGAGCCATAAAATCTCACTTCAAGAAGTTATAGCGGGTCCCGATTTTCTCGACACTTGTCATTGCCCTCTTGAATGAGACGGAATGACCAAGGACCTTAAAAATGGGCAGCAGCGGCTTCTTATTGTCACGGGTAGCACGCTCGTCTTTTTTATGCACAGTTCCATCTCAGAGTCCGAGAGGCCGCGGGGGTCCGATCGACTCCTCCCCCTTACGTTAGCGGCTGTTGAAACGCCAACAGACGGGCGACGGTTAAAAGTTGCAGCTGCTTTTGTACGACTGTACGGAGGGGTGAGATGGTGAGGCGAGCAGGTACATGAAAATTGGTATCTAATCAATGTGTGCTGTGCCTTTGGCCTGGGCCACAGACTTCTCTATATATGGACTGTGCGCTGATTTGGGAAATCAGCATTGGAGGCCCAAATTTCTGAAGCCGTAATATGAACCCATATGTTGTAACACAATACCCTTTTATTGTTTCCTGTCGACAGGCTGAATTTTATGTAATATATTTTGTTTTTGTACTATCTATTGCTCGTAGCTCAGAATAAGAAAGGCTTCTGTTCGATATGAATCTGTATTGGAACATCATTTCACGTTCATCGACACCCATTGATGTCCTCATGTCAAGTTCATCTCACATTGCACCAGTGGGCTTGAAAATGGCGTTAGTCCATTTTCACCGCGGGATCCAGCGAGAAAGGGTGGCTATCATCCCTTTCTTCTTCCCCCGTGTGCTGGATTGTTCACATCTCTGACATGGCTGGCTACAAACTCGCGCGACAGTGCACCGACCGCGCTGGTGGTAAAGGTTGGCGGTAATGCCGATGGGGGACTTTACGGGAAAATGTGTGTCTGCTGCAACGGTGTCTTCACTGTTCTTCTCTGCTACCCACTTTTTCGCACCACGCATCTACACATAGTCGCACTTTCACACATTCGCACATGCGCATCACCAATTGCAACGTATCCCTCCGTCTGCTCGTTTTCCACTCGCTGCTGAATGATAAGGCGATAGCTCTTGTGACGGTCGTTCCCATCACGTTGTCATGCTGTAGCTATTGTTGCTTTTATTGTGTCCCTTCGTCCCATGGAGACGTAGCCGAGCAGCTCTGAAGTGACCTGTGGGCGGCCCCCAGGGCCACCACGATGCTGCAAACATCGTGGTGGCATCGTGGTGGACCGAGATGTCCACTCCCATCAGAGCCGGGCACCGCAGGACATGCTTGGGCTGTCCGCCTCCTCTCAGCAGACGGGTAGAGTGCGGCTCTGCATTGTCGGTCGTCGCACTGGTTGCATCCCGACAGCCAGGAGGGCGTCAACCCGACTCTGTGGCGCCATTGGGAGGAGCTTGTCCAGTGGCCGGCGCGGAGCTGGTGGATGTCCACCGCCGCTGGCCGGTCGCCGCCGGCAACGGTAGGCGGGAGTAGATCCCCGTCAGCTGGTGGAACCAGCCGGCTGGCCAGGCCCCGACGGTGCGAGCCCTCGCCACTCTGGCGGCGGCCCAGTGGGCCTTCTGGACGTCTATAAGGATTTGTTTTTAGTCGAGTATGTTTGCCTTCTTGGCGATGGTGTCGGCCCTCTCGTTGCCTTCCAACCTGCATTGTGAGGGCACCCACTGTAGGTAGACCAACAGGCCTCCAGCTGTCAGTCCCCAGAGGGCTCTCCAGATGTCCACTCCGAGCGAGGAGTGCTGGGCGGCCCAGCCACCTCGGATGGCGGCGAAGGCGGACTGCGAGTCGGTACAGGCTACGATGGTGTCTTCGGCGTGCGGCGGGTTCTCCAGCAGCTAGGAGAGAGCAGCTCGGAGGGCGACCATCTCAGCTCGGAAGCTGGAGCACAGGTAACCTGCCGGGGCGCGGATCGAGTGCTCTTCCCCGTTCGGCCAAACGATTAGTGCCCCCGGCGCCTCCGTCATATTCTGTAGCTCGTTAGTTACAGTATGCTCTTCGCCCTTGGCACATTTCTTGGCTTCTCCATCAAAAATGTCCACAGCTGGCCTAGAAATGGTGACCTGCCAGTTTCCTGAGATATCCAAAGTAGAAGTTCCTGTAATAACAGGCCACCACCGGCACAGATGTTTGTCCCAGCTACTTCTACTCCAATCAGTCCTATGCATCTTGTTTTCTGCTCCACCGCTATTTTTTCCGTCCGTTCTTCGCAGACTGGCGTATTCTTGAGCTTCCCGATCCCGATGCAAGTTTTGCGGTAACATTTAAGAGCGGCAACCTTCATCGTTTAACATTGATGCGAAGGGTACGAATTCCATCATTTCATCGAGCATTCTTCCGAGATGATTTGATCCAGACCATAATGAACTACAACCCCATACGACACACTGGATAAACTTCATTGTTTGATTGAATAAGCTGACTTCTTTTGGATGTAGTGGCGTATCACTGCCATGGGTATGGCATTATTTAGCGCGGCGTAGCTTCGAACTGCGATGGCGAGTTGTTCTTTTCACATTAACTGCTGGTCAAGTTGTAGCTCCTTTCAGTGAGTCTTTTTTTTCTCCAGAATAAAATAAGGCACTAGGCACTATAGGAAGTATGCTGAGACTGGCGCCGTCGATAGCGTCCTGTTTTTCTTCTTGCTGTGTGAGTCTCACAGGAGTCAGTGTTTGCAAAAGTAAACTTGCAAATCTGATTGTCCTCAGCGTTATCTCTTA